TTCTCACAACCAAACAAAACCCCAATCAATAATACATCACTACTGGACCAAGATTAATCCAATGCCATAACTAACACATTCCATGAGATTTTCTACTCAAATCAATTAAAATTCAATGGTTGAACAGTGCACGTGAACAGTGCACGCAGTGAACAGTAACTGCAACTTCTAGAATTTGGCAAGGAGCAGAAATTTGCGGTAAATGGCAAGAAATTTGGGGGAAAACAATGCAGAACAATAGCAAGGAAAAATGCTGCAAAATGCAGAATTTTTCTGGAGAAAATACAGAGTTTTCTGGTCAAAAAACAGTGCAGGAAAATGCCGAATGTTTCTGCGTGAACAGTGAAAACAGCAGCAACTTGCAGAAAAATGCAGCAGCAAGTGCAGAAAATGCAGCAGCAAGTTTGCAGAAAAATGCAGCAGAAAATGCAGAAAACGCAGCAGCAAATTGCAAATTTTCCTGCGTGAACAGTAACTGCGCGTGAACAGTAAAATTTTGGCAAAACAGCAGGATTTTTCCACACAGAACAGCAGCTAATTTCAAGCCAAAAACAGGTTTATTTCTACATGAATTAAGCTAAAAAACATGTTTAAAATGCTGCCAAATTCTTCCATATTTCTGCAGAAATTCAGACACACATGGCAGCAACAAATTGATAAATTCAACAACACAAGGCAGCAACTAGTTAACCATTTTTGGACTTAAAGATGCCATCAACATACCAGAATTTTTCCAGCAACCAAAACCGGAGCTGGCGGGTATGGAGGCCGACGGAGACCGGAGAAGGAATCATGAAAACTACCACAAAATTGCAAGAAACAAAAGGGATTAGAGTGACCCAAGCCAAATTAAAGCTAAAGAGATGAACTTGAAGCTGGTTCTTACCAAAAATCCCGAAGGATTCACACCCGGCAGAACAGCGGACAGACAAAGGGGAAGAACAAAGCAGATCTGAAATTTCTGGGTTTAAAGAGAGTTCTAAGCCCCAAATCTTGTTATTTAACAAGAAAAGAAGAATAAATTTCAAGCTTTGTCACCAATTTTCTCAAAGGGGATGAGTCAGTGGCTTAGGGGAGCTTCAGTCGACAGAGGAGAAGAAAATGAAGATGAAGAAGAGCAAAACACGTGGCTGAGGATAAAAATATCAGCCTCGATCCTTATCCTAATTTCCTTTCTTTTTAGTCCTTGAACTTTGAAAATTTTTATCATTAAGTTCATTAATAGTATTTCTTCACAATTAGGTCCCTTACTCACTTTAATGCTCTAGAAATTTTGGGATATTACATAAGAGTTTAAAATCCACATTAAATTTAGGAGTCTAATACTTTAAATAATATCTTATTATCAAGCTTTAATTTAACTTCTAAACGTTAGTTCAAATTCTAATTAAATTTAGACTTAAACTCTAATAATTATATATTAATTTTATATAATACTTATAGGAATTGCATTATTATTGTATTACTTTTTTACTATATTATAAAAATTGTCAAAATTATCAATAACTTCTAAATAAATACTCAATGAACCTTTAAAAATCTTCAATAAATTTCTTAAAATTTTTTGATAAATCCCTTTAAAATACTTATAAAATCTTACATAAATACTTAATAAACCTCTCTTAAGAGTTTAAAACCCACTCAAGACTCTTATATTCCAATTCAAATTATATATTACCTAAATTTAATTTAACTTCTAAACTTTAATTCAAATTCTAATTAAATTTAAACTTTCATATATTACTTCAATTTAACTTCTAATTAAATTTAAAACAATGCCATCATGTCAAAGTTCTAATCTTTGATTCCCTATCCCTTTCTGTCTATATGAAAAGGTGCAACTAGATCCTAAGACCTCAAGTTTATAAAATTATAACTTTTAAACCCTTAAATTTAAAAGGCATCATTTAAGTCTTTAAAATTCAACAAAATTATTTTAATTTAGGGCATTAATTTAGATTTTTTAGAGTTTAATGATTTTAATGTAAAGGTTTAATATTTAATGTGAGTTTAAGGTATTAGGAATTAAATTTGTTAAGATTTAGTGTTTAGATCATTAGGATTTAAACTTTTTAAAATTTAATATTTAGAATGTTAAGGTTTATATTTTTTCAGGTTTAATATTGGAGGGTATTATAGTTGGTAAAATACCCAATTCCACCCCCAAAGTATAGCAACAAGGATGGATCCACCTCAAACAAAAAAAGGGGACCAATCGACCCATAAAGTTTTCAACTTGAACAAATGACTCATTATTTGACGGGCCACATCAACTGATGTCATCTTCCCATTAACAACGTGCTTACTCAAACATTTTAAACACTGTGGAGGTTTTTTTGCATACATGGATGCTAACCTAATCCATTCCCATCCATTTTAGTCCTATGTGGCAATGCCCCCCCTTTTCCATTACACATCAACTAGGCCCCACCTAAAAATATATAGTCCCTAAAAAAATCCCAAATTTTATTTGTGTCTTCCCCCTTTCTTCCCTCTCTTGAAATTATGGGTTAGGGTTTCTCTTTATCCTCCAAATCTGGGTAAGGGAAAGCTAATTCCATGGCATTTTCCTTTAATTCTCGATCATCAGGACTTGAAGCTTCTTCTAAGGTGAGAGATTTTGGCTTGATTAAGCACACATATGAAGGGCATTGGATGTTCTACAAATGTGGATTCAAGGCACCAAGGTGGACTTCAAGGAGACCATGGAGCATTGGCAGACGCTTTTATGGGTGCCCGAACTTCTTGAATGCTGTATTTATAATTTCTTCATTATGGGTATGCAATTTTGTTTTATCTTGCAATAAATATTTACTTTGAAATGTTTTTCATGTAGGATTTGAGGTGTGCATACTTTGTTTGGCATGATTTTGAACTGACAATTGTGAGAGCTATTGATCTTTTAAAATTGTTGACTAATTAGAAAATGTGCATGAGTAATGAAATTGTAGCTTTGAAAAGGCAATTGAAACAAAGAAATTTGGGTGGAACTATACCTATGTTAGATGAGTCATCTATATTGGTTAAGTCAAGCCATGCCATGTCAAATGCTAACATACAAGAATACAGCCAAAGAAATGGAGTTGAGTTGGAAGAAATTATACAAAATGTTGTGTCAAGAGCTATTGATGATGTGAAGAGAAATTTGGATGCCTTAGTTTCAACCTCTATCCATTATGAAATTAAGAAATTAATCTATGCTTATGTACTAGCTTTGGGCTTTAGGTTTGTATTGGTAATGTTCATTTGGTTCTTATTTTGATATCCCTACTGTAAGGTATAAGGGATGCCATATTTTGTTTGTTTGTCAAGGGCATGGCATATTCTACCTATTTTGTTAGAACATTTTGGTCAAGTGTTGACCAATTATTATGTCCTTTTGGCAGTTACCAAATGTAATTGACTTTTTGTAATGGACAATAGCTAAATCATAATCATGATGTTACCTTGAAATGTGCCACTATATAAGCAAATTTGATTGAATATAATGCCATTGAAATTAGTCTTTAACTTACAAAATAAAGCAAGGCATAATAACCAAATGTACATCCCTAACACAAGGTATAATGGACAACCATAAATTGTCGTTACAAACCACCAACATAGCCATACAGAATTTCAAAGTACATCCCCAAAACAAGAAAATATAAAATAAATTGAAATTATGATGCCTCTTTTCCCTTTACAAACAATTACTTTGACTTCTTCTTTGAGTCATTTTTACCTTCATTGATGACTATTCCTCTAACCTGCATAATATACTAGTCATCAAACACTTGAAATTTAATTTGTTAAATAATATTCAAGCACAATTATTTTGGAAAAGAACTTACACAATCAATCTTTCTTTTGGTCTTTGTTTCCCTTGTAAGTGGTTCCTTGCCTTTACAATCGATCACACTTTTTTGGCAATCTTTTCAATTTGTTCTTGCACCTTTTTCCCCTTTCCTTTTCCTGTAGTCACCTGGGGTTTTTGGTTGGACTTTTTCTTTTAAGGTTGTTTATCAACCTAAAATTGAAGCATTGAAATATAAGCCAACAAAAAAGACAAAAATTTACCTGAGGTAGTGTAATTAAACATAAGCTTACATTGCTTTGACCGGTCCCTACTAACTTATCCTTTCTGGGACATCTAGCTTTATTGTGTCCCTCTTTACTGCACAAGTTGCAACTCATCATAGACCCATGCTTGGACAACCTAGTGAATTTCCCCACCTTAACTTTCTTTGGCTTATGCTTATCTTTTCTTCTATTCTTCCTTAGTCATCCTAGTAGTGTTCTCAACGCTGGTGGTAAACATCCTCCTTCTGGTCTTTTCTTCAAAACCTCATTTCATTTAAGGCACTCCAACGCAATTCCATAGGCTTGCAAGTACTTTTCCTTCTTATAGTGCTCATGAACAAAATCTTCATAATTCTAATTCATGTACCTAATAGCCGAGAAGACATGAGGGCAAGGGATTCCAATTAAGTTCCATTCTCTGCATGAACAAGTTTTTGCTATGAAATCAATGCCATGTGTCACATCACAAGTAGTATCACACACAACAAATGAAGGGTCCCTATTCCACTTGACATAACATTGCATTGACCTCGTAGTATTTTCCTTTATGTTTTTCATGACTCTAGGTGCAATATCATTTGACCATGTCTCTACAAACAACCTTTTTTCCTTGAATCTCTCCATCAACTGGTCAATTAAAGTTTTAATCATAAAAATGATTACCTTAGACCTAGCAGCCAAAATCCATGAATTGAATGTTTCACACATGTTGTTATCAACATCACACTTACAGTTTTCATCAAAGAATGCCTTGCACCAAAACCTTCTTGGCAGATCCATCATCTCAACATAAGTTTGCTTAGACACTCCCCTCAACTCTTTCATTTTCTCCAAAAATTCAATATGGTATAATGCCCTTGTAGGTATCCAAAAGGCCAGTTTGATATCATCTTCTCTGTGCCTCTTTACAAGGTTACAATATAATGTCTCGCAAACTATCTATGATTTATAAGTGACAAAACCTTTGCCTTTGCACAGATAATTCCCTAATTCAATATTTCAAGTTATTTGACAACATAACAAATAAAATTTTAGGAATATACAAAATAATGAAAATACACACTAGATGCCTATTAGATATGATTATATAACCATGCCCAATTCCAAGCTCCAAATCAGATGCAAGCCTCTACATGAACCATGTCCATGAATCATTGTTCTCAAATTCTATTATAGCCCATGCAATTGGGTACATCTGGTTATTTCCATCATTACCAACAGCAGACAGTAATACACCTATACAAATTCCCTTAAGAAAACAACCATCAACTCCAAAGATTCCTCTACAACCATTCTTCCATCCATCTTTGATAACTTTCAAACAAATATACATTCTCATGAGGTTAAATGCTTAATTTGGTCCCTCAACTTTAAGAAATGAACATTTTTGGTCCCTCAACAATTTTTTGCACTTTTTTGATCCCTCAACTTCACGAAATGCACTCTGTTAGTCCTTCTGTTAATTTGGGCTGTTAACTTTGCTTATGTGGCATTTTTTATATTTTTTTTGATGATGTGGAGAGCAAAGTGATGATATGGACAAACATTTTGACATTTCATATTACTCTCGTGCCAAATCATATTACCATGTGTTAAATTCATTCAAATGGGTCCCACTTCATTAATAAAGAAAGATATCTTTTGATGATATGGTAAATTAAGTGATATTTTTTTATATTTTTAATAATATAA